CTCGGCCAATAAAGCAAGATGAGCGCCGCAATCCCAGAGTTGGCCACGACTGGACCTAATGGTCAGGGGTCCCTTTACCTTTACCTTTAGTGATATTTACAATGATGCCTGGAAAAGCAAACAGAGTCTCATGGCCTCTTAAACACTAACATATTTTATGACATAATAATAGTAATAGTAATAATGATAATGATAATTTATTTCTTATACGCCATCTAATTGGGTTGCAGCAGTCATTCTGGGTAGCTTCCAACAAAAATATAAATAAAGAAAAAGAAAAAAAGCACAAAACTACCACATTAAAAGCTTCCTGAAACAGGGCTACCTTTGGATGTCTACAAATCTATCTATCTATCTATCTATCTATCTATCTATCTATCTATCTAGTGGTTTACCTTTTTTACATCTGCTGAGAAATAATGTATGAAAATGTATTAAATCAGTGGAAATGGCTTCCTAAAATACATATATAATTGAAAATAGCATATCATAACACTTATATTAGGAGAAATGTACATCTGAGAGCATATTGCCAATAATATAGGCATTTCTTGTTTACTCTGTGCCCTAATATAGGCATTTCCTATACTGTTTTGTCTGAAGAATTTCGCCACAAGATTCAATAAAGTGTGAATTTTGAATGACTGCAGCATTTCAATTTGCATCTTGGCTCAGGAAGTGTAAACTGGGAATGTTCGCATTAAAATGTCAACCAGATGTATTTCTCCTCTGATCCCTAATTCCTCTTTGGGTTTTGCAAGCTTGGCACGCATTATCTCTGCTGAAAGAGGACATGAAAAAGTGCCAGGTGACAAGATTTTCAAATCCTGCCACCTGCACAGTCCAGTCTTTATTGGGCAGTCTTCACCCAGTGCCTTGGGAGTCTTCCTCTCTCTTTTTGCTGCATCCACAACAACAGGCAGCCATGGATGTCTCTTGCATTCTCTCTGTGGCACCAAGCTTGGTCAGAAGTGCCAACAGCTGTCCAAGAAGAGAAGAAAGGAGGGGAAATGTTGTATTTCCCTAGTCACCATTTTCCCCTCCATGTTTTCAAGGAGCCTTTGAATATCTCACACTCCTCAGAAGCCTGCTTATAATCCTAAACAAACAGACGAGGGAAGGAAACTCATTTCCATCCTATTGGCAGCCATCTGAGAAGACACTGGAAGGCAAAACCAACAGAAAGTTCTGTGAGCTTTGGAGGTCTCTTCTGTGACGTGCCGAGCACCCATTCGTATCCTGCTGGTTTTCACTTCAGCAGAACCCTTTCAAGTATTCTGAGCATTTACAAGGAACAACAGGATTCCTTGCCTCTAAGAATACTTACATCTTAAATAAAACAAGTACACGCCGAGGCTGAACATTCATTTACTGCTGCTGGCTACATATTGTGATCATGTGGTGCATTATGGAGGCAATACACTCCAGCATGTGATAAACCCCACCTCTGTGATCCTTGCCTCTTAAATAATGTGTGTTGGGGGAATCCCATATATACGTTCCAGACAGTTAACACTTTCTTGTCAATGATAACACTGTCACTTCTACAGCTCTGGATACCTACGCAGTGACGTAGCTAGCTGCTTGGGCACCGCACACGGAGGGTGGGGTGAGGTGCCATGGGGCGGGGGGGCACAGGAATCCCAGTGCCTAAGCTGTGTTCTGCTCTGGTGCCATGCAGGCCCGTGTTGCTTTTTCAAGTAGCGAGGAGCCTGCAGGGAATCCACCCACTGCCTCCCCCTCAGCTGTAGCCCCACTGCGTCACTCCCAGGAGAGATGTTCCTTCACTGACAGGTGCGCTGCAGGCCCTGCGGTAAGTGCCGCCCCTGCGGTATGGCACCCAGTGTACCCACTCCCCCTAGCTACGCCTCTGTACCTACATACACCAATCTAGCATCTAAGTGGCTATCCCAAAGTCTGCAATCTATTGAGCAGTTGCAACAGCTGGGGACCACTCCTCCTCCACCAGTTTATGTACCTTCCCCCAAATGGCCTCCACCCACACAGCCAGAGACTGCGCCCACATGGCAACTTCCTCTGCTCCTCCCTTTTCAGTCCCTTCCTGGTTCTGGGAGGAGAGGGGTGGGGAAGCACCTGGCCCTTCACTTGCCTGACCTGCCTCTTCCTCCTCTTCTTCTAATGCATCCTTTCCCCCGCCCTCCAGCTCTGAAGCTTCCACTTTCTCCCACCCTTGCCGGTACAGTTCCCCACAAATCACTAACCCCCTCTTCCGAGTCAGACTCCAGCCCGCTTCCCCCGGTTACACTCACCGGCATCTCGCCACTACCTGACAGTGATACTATAAAGGTCCACAGCAGTTTCTTGAAGCTCATGAGTAGTTTTTACAGAACAGCTGCTATGCCTCAGTAGATGAGGACTATTTACCTTTATTAAAAAGCCTTTTTGATCAGGAGAAGGAAGGAAGTATACTATAAGAATGGCTCATGCATTGGTATTTTGAAATCCTGTAACTCACCATAAGGGGGTTGGGAACAAAAATGTGCTTTTAGAAAATAGAAGGGACTTTATAAAAGGCCTATCAAAACTATGTAGTAAAACTCTTCTGGTTGCCTGTGTTCTTTCCATTGGACCAGGTGTCCTTCTGATTGAACTGCCCTCTAGTGCTGTGGCTCTTAAATATGGTTACACTTGCCCTACTGCTCTGAGCAGTATGGATATTTGAGCGGCACAGGTTTGCTTGCCCAGGTTTGGTTTCTCTTGGAAAGGGGATATTGGAGGCTTATTGGTATTTTAAATATAGGGGTTAAGCATAGGCAGAGGAACAGCTGATGATTCCATTGCACATCAGATCTCCAGAAGGAAACAAACCCTCACAAAAAAGACACTTTCCAAAGCTTGTAAAACCCCAAACTCAGCTCAGCCTTGCCTTTGCATCTCTCACTCAATCTGTCTTACTTCCCAAGTCAAGCTGAAATATCTACTGTTTCTTTTCACACAGAGAATTATTACATAACCTGTGGCCAGAAGCAAGTGGAGGAGGAGAGAAAAGTATGCCCCTTCTGAGGGCCTTCCAAGCATTTTCCAGCCGTTCAGAAAATATCTGCTGGCCTTTTAGCCAGCAATCTCTCTAACGAAAGGTAGGCATAAACAGACCTGCCCGTCAAGCTTGAACTTCTTTAAGCAGACCTTCCAGTTCTATTAACTATCTCCTGTCCAACTCCCTAAAATTACAACAATATCTGACTAAAGGTGTCCTTTTGGGATCTAGGCCTCCTAGTCCTTAGGTTTAATCTGTCAACTTCACAGGCAGCCTGCAATCCATAGCTCAGGTTGATGGGCACTTCAGGCCATGAAACTTGTGGAATGTCTTGCTGTCCCTCAAAGCCAAATAGCTTTTCCAGTTTCCACTACTTTGGAATGAATCTACTTGGCAGCTTTGGGGAAAAACACAGCACAGAACATCAACTGGACGGAACTTGGCTCCCAAATGGGGTGGAGGGAGGGTAGACGTCTCTCCTCTTAAACGTGTCTGAGATATGACATGAAGAAAAACACCGGGTATCTGGGAAAGCTATTAGAATTCCACAGTGCCTGACGATCACCTGTTTAATAGTTAAAACAAACAAAATAGCCAAATAAAACATCTTTGAAGTGTCTTCCTGTCCTGGCGTCAATCACCTAATTTCTCATATTGCTTCTTTTGAGTTCAGTAAACAGCCAGAGTGCACCGTGAACCTACCAATAATGCCAGTTTCCCTCCTCGTTCAGATCCCAGCTCAACTGCTCATAGACACACTTCACACACAGAGGGGCACCACACCACTTTAAGGAGGAAAACATTTAGCTCCTAGAGAGCTGTGGGGATAAACAGGGTGGAAGAGGAGAAAGTACACTTGTGCTTGGGTTCTGCTTGCTGGTTTACAACAGGTCAGGTGTCTAGTTGGTCCCTATGATGCTGGACTACGTGGGCCATTGGCTTGCTCCAGCAAGCTCTTCTAATGTTCTTATTGTTGCAAGATGGCCAATAATTCTTTCTTTCTTTCTTTCTTTCTTTCTTTCTTTCTTTCTTTCTTTCTTTCTTTCCTCCAGCACTCTGTCGCCTTTCTGCCTAACTGCACTTCCTGCTCTCAAAACGCTCCATGGGAAAGAGTCACCTCATGGGTTACATCTAAGCACATGGAGCTGGGAAGGCTGCAGAGTGCACACCACTGGTGAGATGATCTGTAGAATGAATGAGGGGGACATGGGTGGTGCTGTGGTCTAAACCACTGAGCCTCTTGGGCTTGCCAATCAGAAGGTCAGTGGTTCAAATCCCCGTGATGGGGTGAGCTCCTGTTGCTCTGTTCCAGCTCCTGCCAACCTAGCAGTTTGAAAGCACGGCAGGGCAAGTAGATAAATAGGTACCGCTGCGGCGGAAAGGTAAACAGCGTTTCTGTGCGCTCTGGTTTCAGTCACGGTGTTCCGTTGTGCCAGAAGTGGTTTAGTCATGCTGGCCACATGACCCAGAAACCTGTCTGTGGACAAACACCAGCTCCCTCAACCTGAAAGTGAGATGAGCACCACAACCCCATAGTTACCTTTGACTGGACTTAACCATCCAGGGGTCCTTTACCTACCTTTTTACCTTAGAATGAAAGAAAGGACATTCACAAACCTCTCTCAGCCACCTCAAAAATAAAGCCAGTGAGACAAAAAACAAACAAACAAACAAACAAAGAACCCTGCACCCTGCCCATGAGAATTTCACCAAAATTTTCTCTCCACTTTCGTAATGTTTGCATGTAATTGATTTCCCCTTTAATAGAAGGAAAATGTTAAAATATTTTTGTCCTAGCACTAGTTTTTACAGACAGAATAAGGAATCAGGCAAGAGAGGCTTGTGGATTGGCTGAAGGTGGAGCACCCTTAGGGCTCAGGGGCTGTCTGAGGGAATCTGATGCAGAGTTAGCAGATGTGCTACCCATTTTAGGAGTTTGCTTTCTTCTGATATGCAAGACTCCACTCCTCTGTTATCCAAAGGAAACCAAATCTAGTGGTGCAAGGCAGTCGCTCAGTGGTAGAGCATCTGCTTTGCATGCAGAAGGTCACAGGTTCAATCCCCAACATATCTGTTTCTCCAGGGATTGAACCTTGCCTCAAACCCTGGAGAACTACTGCCAGCCAACATAGACAACACTGGGCTAGATGAGCCAATGGTCTGACTTTGTATAAGGCAGCTTCCTATGTTCCTATTTGTAAAGTATTTATTAAACTTTTCCCTTGCAAAGTGTGTGTGTGTTTGCATGCATGTGTGCAGTACATGAATCCTCTACAATTTATGCAACATATGATTTGTTGACAGCTGACAGAGTAAGTTTCTCCTGTAAAGCTTTCAGCCTCAAAGCTGGTTATGCCTCAAAGATTCCACTAATTCACTGCAAAATACTTAAGTAAATTTAGGTTCCAGCCATATTAGACTTAACAGATTTTCCCCCAGACAGGGTTCTGGTGTCCTGAAAAGCATCCTGATGGAAAATGTTTCTTCCCTGGCTCAGAACTTTATTCCTCAGCACACAGGATAACTGAGGCCCACTCCCAGGTTACCACTCCTTATCCTACCATAGTGTGGGTGGGTGAAGGAAAGCAATACACTGCACAGAAATAGATACCAGTGTAGGTAGAAAAGCCCTATAAGGAAAAGGGATTCCAAGCCCTAGTGGTAAGGGTTCCACCAGTCTGTCTCTGGGGCTCTGAGGATTCTCGGGACCTGAAAAGGGGGATTTCTTGTCCAGTAAGATCTGGAAGACCACAGGAGTAAACACCTGCCCTGCCCTAAATGAATTGAACACTTTGTCACAAAGAATCTCTACTGTTTGGGGACTGATTTACCTGACTCTTCGTCACAGTGTAGATACTTTCAACTTGAGTACATGGAAACTCATTGTTTTCAACAGAGCAGTAGGATGAAGCAGCTGGCACTAACCATTTCTGCCCTCCATCAAAGCCACCTAAATGTGCCCTTGTGGTGGTGTGCAAAGACGTTTCAGGTTGAGAGCATTCAAAATCCAAGCACATATAATCATAGGGTTACAGAAGACTGAAGAGTCTGTGTCCCCAACATAGTCACAGAATTACAAGGTTTTCAATGGGTGGATCATTACTTCTGTGATTAGAGACACCAACACTTCTGGCTGTTTTGACAGCCACCAAATAGTCTGCATAGTATGGAATGGTGGCAAAATGTTGCAGAGCTCAAGCAAATGTTTAATGCACATTACTCACAAAGCTTGGAATTCTTACATGATTTTAACTGAGTCATTCATTCATTTAATATGTATACCACCTTTCCTCCAAAGATCTCAGGGCAGTTAATGGCATTAAAATAGAAAAAGTCATGAGCTCCATGATATATAAAAGGGCTGTGCATCAGCTCTGCATGCAGCCAAAACTACAAGGTGGATAAGGATGATTTGGATGAAGTTTTCATGTGCCAGGGGTCAGATTGCACCATTCACAGGGCATCTCAGTCAGGGGCTGCCTAAAGTCCCGAGTCACTCTGTGTGCACAAAAACGCTGCATTCTTTTGCCATTTAAAATAAAGGGGCCTCTGCATTATTATTTTTTAAAGCAAAAACCAAACTGGCTGGTGAAACAGCCTGTGCTCAAGTGAGGGGAAGTGAGTGGGCAAGAGGTGGGGGGCGAATTTTGTTCTGATGAGCAGGTCTAGGTTTTAATCACAGTGAATTATTTTCCCAGGGAACTCCAGTCTCAGTAATTTGGGGGAGGGATGTTGGAGTGAATAGAAAGCTTTTACTTTTCACGTGGTTGTTCTCTTGTGAGTTCTGCCTGGGAAAGTAGAGAGGTGGACTCTTGGCATCTTTCCCAGTTGTTTTCTGTTTCCTAACAAACCACTCAAAATCAATACTTCAGTCAATTTGTTTTCATTCTGCTGGGATTTTTGTTTTTCATTTCCTTTTGCTTTGTGTTAGTTTTCTTTTGAGTCTTCAAACTTTCAGGAGAGCTCAGGAAAGGGCTCCTCCACTGTCCCCCTCCTTCAGTTCACTCATAAGGCTTTCCGTGCGATTTATTTGCTACTTTCATTTTAATTCCTGTCTGTTTTCCAATGAAGAACACCTAATTTATTTGCTTTTCCTTCTATTTGTTTTCTCTTATTTTTTTCCAGCTATGTGAAAACTTGCAGTGTGTGCACGCGATGCTTTTTCTTCATTTCCAATTGTTTTTCTTCCAGCTTTGGTTTGCTTGTTGAGAGTCCCATTTGCCTCTTTTCAGTTTCAGGGTACCTGTGATTCATTATGCTGAATTCTTGCTGCCAAGTATTATTTATATTTTTATTGAAGTTTTATCCCTTTCCCCTTTAGGTCTGGTACTTTCCTCTACCTTCAACTAAGCCTGATTGTCCCTTAAGTCAGCTTCCAGTCACATTGCTCATTGCCAGCCTATTACAGTAAGCTCAAAACTTATGTGGGGGTTACGTTCCGGAGATTGCACCTTGAAAAAAAAGGTGCATAGTCAAAACACATTAGGTTCAATGGCAAGGGGGGTTGTCAAAGTCTTTTCCCCCAGACGCCTGCTCCCTTTTTATTTTATTTATTTATTTTTGCCAAGTGCAGAAAGCTGAATGTGCACAAGTTAAATGTGTGCAAGTTGTGGGCTTACTGCCCAGGGACATCCCCTCATGTCACCAGTTTTTGGACAACTCACAAGACACTACAGGGGGTTACATTATTTGTTCTTTACCTGCCCCAAAATGGTAAGGTCAGTCTTGTCTCCTTCCTATCTGTTTTTCTACCTATAAAGGTAAAAGATCCCATTCTCCCTTACGTGGGAAATCAGCTTGGGGGGGGGGTGATTTTAAGCAGGAAAATAGCCAAAGCCTTAAACAACTCCCCTTACCCCACCATTAAAACTCACAAACAAGAATCTGGGGAAAGTCACACGTGACTGTATGCCATAGTTTGTCTGGCTCTCAAGCAACAGGAGAATGCAAACATTTGCACAACGTCTGGGATAAGCAAGGTGTATCAAAACTACCATGTAGTATAGCAGCCATTTCTGATGAAACATCTCCAAATCTTGCCTTGTTCCATAAAACATTTCTCCTTTAAATGTCAGCACTGTATTGAGTTTTGATTGGAAGCAACAAGACTGGTATGGCTTGATCCAAGAGAGGTTCCACTCAATAGAGGGCAATACTTCACAGACACATTGGCTAGCTTGTGCCTATATTCCCATTAATTATGTACCAAGGCATAGATCCTGGGGTGCTGTCCATACCTATTCATTATTTGCAGGCACTGCTAGCCCTAAGAATTAAGCCACTACCTATTATTCTAACGAAGACTTCCTCTCTGATAATTTGCTACTTAAATTGAAAACACATAAATCTGGGGGCCTTCTTGTGTCAAGGGTAGTACGCTGGCCAAATACCACAGTGCTCAGCTTTGAGACCTGAGACTGCAAATGCCCATCTGATAAAACCACAAAATTTGTAACAGCAGAACGGTGCTACAAACTAAACAGAATCCAGTTCTGGGAAAGAAAGCAGAGATTTATACCAGGCTGTGCTCTTGCCCATAGTGATGGGGAACTGTTTACAGCTTAAAGGCCCCAGACCTTTCCAGACAACCTTCTGAGGACCATATGCCCATGGTGGTTGGGGCAAGATGCAAAAATGCAATGAATGTACATTTCTATCTTTATATGGTTTATATGGTAGTTTCTATGTACACCCTCCTCTATCCTCTAGCTAGACAAGCAAGAGGCATTATCAGAGGGATATGCGAGCTGGTCAGGCAAACAACCACCACTACCCAAGATGCAAAGCAGGGCCAGTGAAGGATATGGCCTGGGGAGAATCTGAAGGCCAGAGAGAAAATCTGGAGGGCTGAATTTGGCCTCTAGGCATAAGGCTGTCCACCCTTTCTCCAGCAGTACAATACAGTGGTACCTCGGGTTACAGATGCTTCAGGTTACAGACGCTTCAGGTTACAGACTCCGCTAACCCAGAAATAGTACCTTGGGTTAAGAACTTTGCTTCAGGATGAGAACAGCAGTGGCGGAGTGGCAGCGGGAGGCCCCATTAGCTAAAGTGGTACCTCAGGTTAAGAACAGTTTCAGGTTAAGAATGGACCTCCAGAAAGAATTAAGTTCTTAACCCGAGGTACCACTGTACCAGGAGAGTAAATAGGAGTTTTAGGAACTATTTCTAAATGATGGATGCCAGTAGAACTTAGGAAGCCTGTCTAACAATCCCCCATAAAAAAGCCTTCGTACGCAATATTGACAATCTTCTAAAGTGCTTCTACTTTGTTGATGTTTTGTTCTTCTTTTTAGCAGATGTTTCACATCTGCTATAAGGGGCCAAGAATAGTTCTTTTCAGAGGAATGCACCTCAGGCAAAGTGCATTGCAATCTCTCTGATTCAGGTGAATAAGATGACTAGTTTTGACAAAATATTTATTTGCCATAGTGGACACATAGCCACTTGGTAAGCCAGTTGTCTATACTATGCTGTCAGGTGGTGAGAAGAACATAGCCATACCTCCACACCTGATCAAACATTTTTGGAAATGGGACAGTGGGTCTTACCATTTGGCATCAGAGTCAGATAGTCAGATGAAGTGGGGATCTTTGAGACCAGTCAAATGCAAATAATGTGCTCTGCCTTTCCAATGTGGATCTGCTGCCCTTAATGGTGCCCTGAATTATTCTTATCTTGCCTCATGGCGGTGGGGCTCCTTTGGCTTGCTCACACAGCTTGGTCTTCCTTGCACTGCAAACAGCTAATCTCTTCCTCAACGTAAGCAAAATATATTCTTGATTCTTTTCCTGATAAATACTGGAAGGCAGATCTTGTTCCAGCCCTTATTTTTCCTACCACAAATTCTGTACCTTTCACAACTGCATGTTGTTCAAAACTTCTCCGAGTCCAGCATTCCCCATCCTGAAACTTCTGTGCTCAGAGATCTTCACCAACTGGTTTCAACCTATTTGGCAGCTCTATAGGCATGGGTCTTCCATCTCTAATAAGGTGGCAACTCTAATCAGGACTATCATTATCAACTGTCTTGAATGCATTCACACCCAGCTTCATCACATTTGCTTCAGATTGGCAGC